CCAGAAGATCTAAGTACTTTATCTAAACATTTTATAGAACTGCCTAAGAACCAGGCGCAAATACGAACTCCACGGCACAATCAGCCTAATGAGCCACATGACAAACCTAATCATCCGTATTCTGATGTATAGAGCGCGCAGCAAAATCAGGTCAGAGATAGGTCAAGAACAGTGCGGAAGACACCGGAACAAGGAACACGATACTCATGCTCAGGATGGTATCAGAAAGAGTAATACAAATGCAGAAGAACGTGCACCTGTGTTTTATAGACTACGCAAAGGCATTCGACAAACTACGCTACAAAGATCTGTTGGAATTGCTCAGCAACTCTGACATATTCAGGAAGGACATAAAAAAGATCAAAAACCTCTATTGGCCAAAAAATCGCTTGCATGAAGATAAATAATGAGTTCAGAAGATATACAAAAATAGAAATGAGCGTAAGGCAAGGATGTGTCTTCTCACCGGACCTATTCAATCTATTCAGCGATATAACTCCCAGAGAACTGGAAATCCTACCATGATTCATCTTTGGCGGCCACAATCTTAACATAAGATACGCAGATGACACAGTGCTGATAGCAGACATGGAAAGGAAACTACAAAACCTTATACAGAAGTTAATGAATGAGACCGAGAAGAATGGTCTATGCATAAACTACAAGAAGACAGAATGCATAGTCATCAGAAAAAAGATGAGCCAAAAATACGATTTACAAGTCGGGGACACTAATTTGGAGGGTGCCATTTTAAAAACGAATTGAATCAAAACTCCAGCCCTTTGTTTAAAGTGAATATTTTTAAATAGCAGTTACTTTGATCATTTCGCCAATCTTTAAAAAGTGGGACGTATTTTTATTTAAACTTTTCATATTTACAAGTTTATTAAAATATATGCACAATCTATCAATACTTATTATTTCTTCTTCTATGTGCCGTGTCCTTTCAGGACATTGACGATCATGGCTCTCCACAGTTTCCTGTCTTTTGTAGCTCTTAATAAACTTTCTAACTTAAAATCCGTTCGACCATTCATTTACACAAACTCTCCAGGTATTTTATGTGTTGTTTTCCTCTGTTCTTCTTGCTTTGAATATGTCTTGTGAGTATCAAATTTTACAACTCCTCTTTCTTCATCATTGTGCTTTCTAGTGTTTCCTTTTTGTTTCCATTTTTTTAAAATTTACTCGTTGCTAACCTGTTCGGTATATAGTATTCTCAATATCCTTCTGTAGAACCACCTTTCTGTTGCTTCAAGTCTCTTCTTTATCCGTGAGAAGTTTTCTCAGAATTCTCTGCCATATAGAATGGCTGATATTACGTAACATTTCACTACTCTTTTGTTTGTTTCTAATGAAATTTCCATGTTTCCTGTACTTTGCTTAGCTTTTGGAAGGCATATTTTGCTGTCTAAATCCACCGTCTGATTTCGCACTTTCCGTCCTCTGTTAAATCAATTTCCAGATATTTAAGTTGTACTTATTTGACTTTGGTATCTTCTTTTTGTAATTTTTACGTTATGCCTTTCCTTTTCCTAATAAATATACATTCTGTCTTCTTGAAATTGATGTTTAGACCTTTCTTCTCGCTTTCCTTCACTGCCTTCTGTAAAAGTTCATATAGTTTCCTTTTGGTGAGTACTATCGACTCTCTGTCATCTGCATATGTTGTTAAGACAGTGGCCGGCAATGACTCCTGGTATGAATTCTAATTCTCATTACATAGGCTCAATAAGTCCGGTGAGAAGACACATCCTTGTCTTACAGCCCTTTCTATTTTTATATATTTGTTAAATTTTCTGTCCATATCCACGCGGTTTACTCCGAGTATAGGTCCGGAGTATTCTAATATCCTTCCCAAATATGTCAAGGTTGCATAGGATCAGAGATATGTTAAGGCCCGTTCTGTTACAATCATAATTTGATAACAGCAAGTTTCTTACTGCGATATTGTGTTAACCATTGTTATTTATGCCAGATCACTTTACGAGCGCTACTGGTATTATATAAACTAACACTAGCTGCCGCATGGATGGGTCATCAATAACTAAACCTGTTCTTCCATCAGATTTTTGGTGTTGAGGATGGCTAGACACCCACCTGGATTTAAAAACAAACCTGTCAAAGGACACTGGAAAATTTTTGTAGGGTCACCTGTCATCTAGCACAATGGAGTGGACTGGACTTCAGAGCTACTTATGCAGGCAGTATGTTGATGCCACAGCATCGCTTGATGGATATCACTTCTGAACGTTAAAAGAACTGACCTAGAAGGTACCCTCAAAGTCCCCAGGTGCAGAATCGGTTTTCAAATGATGTCGGTGAATACACCAACCTAAACAGGATATGAAACCAACTAAAAACAGATAATGCGCACAAAAGACAACTGACGATAATCTTTTTATTATTTCATCCCAGGCAAGACAATAATGTCACTAAGATGCTAACGGTTACTGAGGGTGAAAGAAAATGAAAATACTTTAGGAGGAGGAACCGGAAAGACAATCCTAAACAAGAAAAAAGACATGAATCTCTGATCCTGTTCAAAACACGAAGAAGAAGTGTGAATCAGGCAATAGGCGAACCTATCTCCCGTCGTCTCGAAAGACGACGGAGTAGCGCCGTGCTACGAGCCTGGGCGGGATATATGGAGAACTAGGGCTACCCGTACGTCTAGTTCCCCCTCTCGACTTTGCTAGCAGAGTCCAAAGGAGAGGAAAAAACAATATAGGGCCATCCATCCGCCTTAGGGGCTCCACTCCGGGTTTGAATTCAAAGTTGTCCTTCTCTTAGACCAGTTGCCATCAAAGGCTTAGAACCCACTGCCCTGCTATTTACCGATAGCTGGAGGGAGAAGGAAATGATCCACACCTTTCCCTAGGGTATTCCTCAATCCAAGCCGCTATCCATTACTCCACCGCAAACTCCTCTGCGACCCTATCTACTCCTATTAAAAGTTATATAAACGCCCGGTCTACGATGGTGGGAGCAGAAGACTTGGTATTCTCACAAGAAGATCGAACATTCGAAAACACATACACTTGATTCGGCCGGGGTTAATTTCACATAGTTCAAATGTTAAATGCTTATAAATACTTATTTTATGAAAAACTGTCTCGTATTCTTACTAGTTATTACAGGTAGGCGACTAAACCGACTCACATCCTCACAAAATGATTGAATCTTTCAAAACAAAAACCATACTCTTGACTCGGTCGACGTTCATTTGACGGAGTCCCGATTTGAATAAACACGTATTTGACGGATGAAAGAGTTGAGCTTATATTCATATCAGACACGTTACTAACATAGCATTACTCTGCAAGTCAAAGCAGACGGCATGTAATTGTGGAAAAGTAAAGGCCTGTCAATTTTTGTCTGATATTTGGAGACGTGGGTACAAAAAGATAATGACTCTAGTCCGAGTAAATCAGTGAACTGTCAAATTGGAAGTATGGCTGTTTCTGTGGATTATATGATGGAAGTGGAGATAAAAGTAACAAATACAGCATTACCATGGTGACCGGACCATTGGGCCTGGATCTGTTTTTAATGACGCACTTCAAGACACTTGTGCAATATTTAGAAATGTCACCAAATGCAAATAAAAAGAATAGGTCTTACAACGGATGAAGAAGAGAGGGAAGAACTGACAATCGGTTATTTCTTATAATCGTTTCTTTCTTCTGAAATAGGCTGAGTTCGAGTTGTTTGGAAAATGAAAGTGATAGATGTTGTTCTTGTGAAAAAAAAAGACAAAAGGTTTAAAAAGTTGATCTGGTAAGAGGCTAATTCAGGAGTTTTAGATGAGCTCCAATTTTTATTCTTTTCTTTCTTTTTGCCTTGGTATCACGGCGAGAAAGAAGGTAGACAGGCAAACTTAGAAAAGAGGGTAGGAATGAAAAGAGAGAAGGAAAATGACTACTTGCACAATTTATATTCCGAAGGGCTCATGGCTCAGTGTATAAAGACGTTGATTAGATCCAATTACGAGACCCAAAGAGTTGTGAGTTCGACACCAGGCCACAGCAGTAGTTGACCAGTAAACGTTTTAACTTTTATCCAGTGTTTCTGTCATCTTAATTTAAATTGCATTACATCGCAACTTCAAAGACGGAAATTTTACAACTTTTAATAAACATGACGGATCACAAATAAAAAAAAAAAGAAGCTCTTGGTGAAATTTGAATTTTAATTCATTTTATATTTGCATTAACCCTGACAGTGGCTGAGTAAAAGAGAAATAATTGAGACATCCGGTAGAGGCATGGCACGTGGAACTAGAGCAATATACCCGGTTAGTCGAAATAAAGGGTTCGATTCGAAATTCCAATCACCTGAAGAAACCGAAACGTTGGGAACATGACAGTGGAGATGAGGATAACAGTCCGAATAATGTAAATAATGCAAGTAATCATAATACCACATCTCAGAGATCCAATCACCTGAAGAAAGCCGGAGCGTTCAATGACCGAAACGTTGTGAATATGACAATGAAGATGAGGATAACAGTCCGAATAATGTAAATAATGCAATCATAATACCTCATCTCAGAGATATAGACAGATATTGGAAAATGACCAAATCTAAAGAAAGGAAAAGAAAAAAGAATAATGAAAATGAGAATATAGGAGAAAATTATTTCGAAAAGAAGTTACAAATGAGTGAACGAGAAAGAATGGATAATGAATCACGGTTGACAAGTGGAAAGAAAGAAAGACAGAAAGAAAAGAAAGAAAGAAACGAAAGAACGAAACAAAGAAATGTAGTTAACGAAAGAAAGAAACAGAAAGAGAAAGGAAATTATAAAAGAGAAAGAGAGAGAGAAAGAGAAGGCAAAAGAAAGAAAGAGAATTGGTAGAATATGAAAGCAATTACGCAAAGACATTCATGGGAAAGGAAAAAAATAGATAGAAACGATATAAAGAAAGAGAGCAATAAAGAACTGAAAATTATATAAGAAAGAGCGACCAGGAAAAAGAAACAAAGAGAGAAAGAGACTAAAGAGAAGGAACTTTATAAAAGAGTGTTACATGATGAAAGAAAGAAAGAAAGAAAGAAAGAAAGAAAGAAAGAAAGAAAGAAAGAAAGAAAGAATCTTGGTTGGATAGAAAGGAAACATTTTTCAAAGAAAGAAAGAAAGAAAGAAAGTATCTTGGTTGGATAGGAAAAAACATGTTTGGAAAGAAAGAAAGAAAGAAAGAAAGAAAGAAAGAATCTTTGTTGGATAGAAAGGAAACATTTTTCAAAGAAAGAAAAAAGAAAGAAAGAAAGAAAGAAAGAAAGAAAGAAAGAAAGAAAGAAAGAAAGAAACGAAAGAAAGACTGTAAGGATGAAAGAAAGAAAGAAAGAAAGAAAGAAAGAAAGAAAGAAAGAAAGAATCCTGGTTGGATAGAAAGGAAACACTTTTCAAAGAAAGAAAAAAGAAAGAAAGAAAGAAAGAAAGAAAGAAAGAAAGAAAGAAAGAAAGAAAAAAGAAAGAAAGAAAGAAAGACTGTAAGAAAGAAAGAAAGAAAGAAAGAAAGAAAGAATGAAAGAAAGAAAGAATCTTGGTTGGATAGAAATAAAACATGTTTGGAAAGAAAGAAAGAAAGAAAGAAAGAAAGAAAGAAAGAAAGAACGGATTAATGAACAGAACAAAAAATAAATGAAAACAATCCTGAAAAGGATAGAAATAGATGTGATGTAATCAAAAGAAAAGATTAAGAAGAATTGCTGACCAATTGAAATAAACTAAGTAATCCATTTGTTACCATGGCTTACAATGGAGCCAAGTGGATAAAAACATCGTTCTTTTCAAACTAACGAGTCATATGTCTTTTAGCGAGAGCCAGAAATTTCACTTACCTTTTTTTTTCATAGCACAGATTGGAAAGTATGAAAACCAAAATAGATCTGTAGGTTTTGTTGTATTTTGATCTGTTTTTTTTTTGTTTTTTTTTTTTGTTTTTTTTACAGGTGGATAACCGTTTTTATTTGCACTGTTCTATGAATATTGATGCCCCTACCCAATCATATCTATGTACGTGTTGTACCCTTTTACAATAATATAAAAAAAATGATTTCGAAGGACCAACAGCAAGATAATGGTCGAGGACTGGTGAAATTTGTTGTCTACACTGGAGATTAGATGACAACAAGTCCCCTCAATATTCCAACAATCTTTTTAGTATGCTAGACTGGGAGCAACAGAAATGTGATTCTACAGAAGGATGTGAAGAATATCATGGATCAAACAACGAAATTTTAGAGAAAAATGAAGCAAAAAAGATATTAGAAAGAGAAAGCTGAAATTACTAAGGTCCATAATGAGGAAAGAGGGCTCGAGAAGTTTGGTACTCACAGGACAGATTGAAGGCAAGACGGGCAGAGGAAAACAACGCATAACCTTTGTAGCAAGCTTATGTAAATGGACGGTAGAACATGCTTTATAACAGATAACGGAAAGAGAAAAATTATTAAGAACTTCAAAGTACAGGAAATTATGAAGAGCCAAGATCGCCAACGTCCTGAAAGTTCACGATACATAGAAGAAGAAAAAAGAAGGGTGTTTTCAATTATACGATAATATCGAGGTTTCCTTATTATCAGTTTCCGCTTCTTTTTTTTTCAGACATTTTGAGAATGCTCTCGACCCTCCAGTAACAACTGGTTGCAAACAGAAAAAATAAAATATATTCTTTCCAAAAAGAGAAAATTCATCTGGGATCATAAGGCAATTTTAATTTGTCATTCGATGGAAAAATTTACATAATAATGCTAATCTAGCACTACGCTTAAATTCGTAAACTCAAGATACCTAAGAGGACGTTCCCCGGTATGACGACAAACTACATCCGCGTCCTGGGTAAGACGATAAGCTAGGTCCAACAGCAAGGACTCTGATCCTGAGGTTTTGAGGAGCGTGCAACCGCCTCTTAATTGCTGCTGTTCCCAGATCCACACTGACTCATGGTATTAGAACTTCTTAGGGTAACAGCTATGGGTAAATATTTAACCCCCAAACTGGGGTCAAAACACTGTGAAAGTGTAAAAATAGGTTTTAATACCAGAAATACTAAATAAATAATAAAAATTATTATCAGCAATATTTCTTTAAGAAATATTATTACCAGCAATACATTATTACCAGCAATATATTTTTGAAAATATATCACCAGCTATACATTTCTGAAAAAAAAATTACCAGCAATACATTTCTGAAAAAAAAAAATATTACCAGCAATAAAAATCTTGTCGGCATTAAATAACCCATTGAGGTTGATATGTTGTAAAACAAAACAAAACAAAACAAACCTAATAAAAAATAATGAAATAGTCAAGATGTTGACCTTCCACACCACATCGAACAAAAGGTTAAGAAGGAAACCCCAAATCAACCTCGGAAAGAGTAATAACAATTATTTAGCTGAAGAAACCTATTTTCCTGAAAAAAATGTTTTCATGGAAAGATTTTATAAATTTCGCCCCGAAGTAGCAGTAACTGCTCAGCTAATGAAAGGACTAATATTACCATTATGATCACAGATAAGTAAACTAAAAATATTACTAGCAATAAAAATCTTGTCGGCATTAAATAGGCCATTGAGGTTGATATGCCGTAAAAAAAAAAAAAAAAAAAGGGGGGGAAAGCCCATCAGAACAATTATCCTGTATACACTTATAGAATAATATTCCGAGAAGCTAAGTTATGTCGCTCAAAAAAATGACTGGAGCCGAAATGCCAGATCAGAACCGAAACAATCACAGATTCTTTTTTCGATTTTGTCAAGAATCTCTAAGCAAGTAGCAAAATCACCAGGCCTGACGTGACAGTAATACCCAAAGTCTGGGTAAATGGTAGATTTATAAATGTGTAAGATAGATTCGAGCTTGAAAAACTTTCTAGCACAATATAGGGAACTGACTTTCCTAAAAATTAGCAAAATAATACTTCCACTTCATCTCAGTGGAAAACGTTAAAACTAATGAATCACTCCCCTATGCTGATTTAAGATAAAAATTTTATCTAAGATGATCAAAAGAGTGCAGCTTTCGTTTTGGAGGAGTTAAAATTAACAAACAATTTCTTGCTCCAGTCAAAAATAGCTTGATGGTCATTTTTGAGACAAGCTTCCAATTTAATCCAATTGAAACTATCAGATTTACCAATAAGATAGAAGTTAAATAGTTGTGTTATGAAAAAGACCTAGAAGAGTGGCCGTTCAAGACAACTTTGATTTCGCGATTAAATAAGAAAGAATGAATCAAATAAAAAAAATCATTCAGAAATAACATAAGCATTGAAATTGTGAAGAAGACAGGCATGCGAAAACTCTGCCAAGCACTTTCGAGATAACTAAAGAAAAAGCACGAGCTTCACCATTCTTAGCTTGTAAAATTCTTTCAGTCATAACCATTAAAATAACAGCAGGTGACTTACAGAAGTGAGAGTTATATTGTATGTCTGAAAGGAGACCTTGCTAGGTAAGATGCTTCACAAATCCGTATTGGTTATTTATTATTATTTTCATTTTTTTTTTTTTTTTAAAAAAGAGTTCAACTCTTAAGGTATTCCAAAGTGAAATGCGATTTTAGCAAGGCGGATCTAATATAATATACAATATTAATATATCGCAGTATATATATAGGTATAAAGAGTCAGGTAAACCTACCTAGGTTTCACCTGCGCAGATTGTCTTTTGACTCTGAGCTTGGATTCTGGACGATTGTTTTCGCCTGAATTACATGTTCTTAGTTCTTTCTTTTTTTATTCCTTATTTTTCCTTGGGTATTGGTTTGTTCATTTACAAGCTAAACAAAAAATCAGAGATAATCTCCAAATGTAGACATGAGAACAAGTATCTATTATCCGAATTCATACCAAACGGATAAAACAGACAAACCACCAACAATCACAATTTAATTTCAAGATACCATCAAAATAATTGCACCTATCATTATTATAATTGCACCACCATTAGTAATCACTTTTACCATCTTACAATATCTATTAACTATCAATATTATCATTACCACCTACACACACAGCACCATCACTTACACATCACACCCACTATTAACATATAATCCACTACAATCTTTATTACTCCCCCCAGCATATTTAATACTTTAAAACAATATGATCAGATATAATTTCCATATGTAACCATGAGAATAAACACCTATTACCAGGCAGCTTTTAATATAATAATAATAATTTTGTAATTAAAATTAAAATTATAGCAATCTTCAACTACCATAATTTTACATAGAATACCTATTATCAGGTTTTATACCAAAATAAATTAATACATATAACAAAATAAAACAAAAATAAAATAAAACACCAACAACCACTTTTTAGTTCAAGCTACCACCACTATAACTACATTCATGGTTTTATCATTCTCCCACCATCGTTACTAATCATTTCTACCAATTTGCAATTTCTTCCAATTTACAATAACTATTATTAGCTAAAGCCTAAATAGCATTGTCTCCAAACATTACTATCACATCATATCATATAAACCCGTTATTAAATTAAACATCACCATATAAATTAAACAATAAGGATTACAAATTTTTACCTGTTACATATACACAGTCACCAAAACAAACAAATAACCAGCTTTAAATATAACAAATAAACCCCCATTTTTTCAAAAACAAATAACCAGCTTTAAATATAACAAATAAACCCCCATTTTTTTTTCAAAAATTTAAAATAAATATAAATAATTATAATAATAATTTTTACCTATCATAATTTTACACAAACCCCACCACACATATATACATACATGCGAAAAAAAATATTTTTCAAAAAAAAAAAAAAATTTCATAATATGACATGGATACATTCACGAGACATTAACGAGACATTTCCGCCACACTTCCAATGTTTAAATTTCAACATTTCAACATACAAATGCGTATGTATAGACATAACACCACCCGTATACATACATGTGTCATAGCCGAAACTGTCTACATATGTCTATATATATGTATGAGTCCCGACGGACGACCAAGTATGTACATGTGTCTGCATACATCGATGTTTGCGTTAGTACGATGAATGACAAAACGACGAAATTTCCCCCACCACTTCCACAATAACACCAATACACGCAATCTACATAAACCCAAATTTTTTAAAACATTAATCATTTTGTCTGACGATCGCTAAAGCGTGAAACCCAGGGTCACAAACTCACATCTATCCAACCAAATATATATATATATATATATATATATATATATATATATATATATATATAATTACTTATTTAAAAATATGATTCCAACACGCTACATAAGAGGTCCCATGTTTCAATGTTCTTTCCTATTTTCTATATATTTTCACACACACACACACACACACACACATATATATATATTAAAATAATAGGAAATAATAATGAGATTTATAATTCAGAGTTCTTAGCATTTATTTTTTAAAAACAGTGCTCGATACAACTGTAGAGCATAATATTATATTTGTTTCTTTTTAATATATAATCATCGCAACACTGGAATTCCCATGTTTTAAAACAGAAACTTCAATTCAAATTCAATCATAAAATTTAAACTTAAAATACAAAGTTCTGTTCCATTATCAAGCGATGTTAAGAATACCTTTTTAGAAATTGATTTATTTAATTTATAAGCCCAGATAAATTTGATATTTTGAGATGTTGGGGTTAAGAAAAATTCCAATTTTTTTTATTTTAGGGTTAAGATTTAACTTATTTCGAAAACTTACGTGTCTAATATATTGTAGCTATCAAGTCGTTCAAGTCAAAGTGGGGGCTGGGGTATCTGTCTATTGATTCAATCTTGCTTTTTTTTTCAGTAAAAAGTTTTGTTAGTGTCTATGTTCCAACACATCGTCTGGAATTTTTATAATTATTTTTGAAGGAAAATTATTACAAACACAATATTACCAGCAATATATTTTAAAAAAAATTACCACTAATACATTTGTGGAAAAATAAATCTTATTAAATAACCCATTAAGTAAAACAAGACAAAAACCAAACCAAACCAAACTAAATCAAAAAAACATTCTTTGGAATTAAATAACCTTTTGAGGTTGATATGCCATAAAAAAAAGCAAACCAAACTAAACTTAACCACATAATAATTAACTCGTAAAAGAAAAGAAATACACAAGCTAAACTCACACACATTTCACATAGATAAGCCCTTCCGTTTCAGGATTTAATCCTACATTACGTAACCATTAATTGGTACGAGGTTTGTCTACGTCAGCTTGTTTGGCACGGGCAGAGTACTGGATTATTATTATTTTTATTTTCTTTGATTTCTGGCGTTTACACATTTCTTTCCGGGTCCCGCCCAGGGACCTAAGGTTAGAAATGAAAAAAATTACATAGATAAAGCCCTTCGTAAAGTGTGGGCTGTACTTGTCAGAACAATTTTTTGTATCTCCTTGAGGCATGGACTTCCAGGAATCCCTTCAATTAGTCTACTGCAATCTTTTCCAACTAGTCCTAGGGCTCCAACTACAACAGGGATTGTTTATGTTCCCATATGCCACATTTTTGATATTTCTATTTCAAGGTCCTTGTATTTTGACAACTTTTTGAATATCTTCAAAGATACATTGCAGTCAGCAGGGACTGCCATACCAATAAGGAGGCACCGTTTTTGTTTGTAGTCTTTAATAACAATATCTGGCCGGTTGGCCTTGATTGTTCTGTCAGTGTGTATTGTGTAGTCCCATAGAATTGTAACAGGTCCTATCTCCGTAACCGAGTCTGGGTGGTGTTCATACCAGTTTCTTTCCCGTAGAAGTTGCATATTTTCCAGTTCAGATATTGGCCCACTCTATCATGCCGAGTTTTATACTCAGTGGTTGCCAATATCGTGCAACCTGATACAAGATGATCAATCGTTTCTGGATATTTATCACAGAATCTGCATTTTGGGCTGACACAATATTTTAGTATATGTGCTTGATAATTCCTAGTTAGCAAGTATTGGTCCTGCGCAGCAAGGATAAAACCTTCAGTTTCCGCATTCAACCCTGCACTACGTAGCCACTGATGGGTACGGGTTTTGTCTACGTCAGCTTGTTTGGTACGGGCAGAGTATTGGCCATGAAGAGGTTTATCTTGCCATCGCTTCTGTATCTGGTCGGTTGCATTCGTCTTTGCTGTCTTTTTTAGGTATTTTGCAGTTTCAGCCGGTGTATTGTGCTGTAGTTGCATCTCTACGCCTATTTGAAACTCTATTTTGAATTTGTTGGCTTCTTTAATTACGGAGTAAAGACGCTTACTATTTTCATGTTCCTTGACGCATACCATCATCCAGTCTTCTGTAGTTTCCAAATATTTTTGGAGGCCAATTGTTGTAGTTTTATTCCATTAATTGTTTACTGGTATGTAAATTCAAGAAATAAAATAAAGTTTAAAAATAAAATAAAATAAGCAGTCATAAAACTTAGAAAATACATGCGAAAACATAGACTTCAGAATTAAGAATGCGTCTCCTCCAGATGCGTAAAATAGATCTTTCTTTTCTGTATCTTATATAAAATAGTGTTTTCTTTAATGTTAGATTATGAGTAAATAAATAAGGATGAGTCATTTACGCTAATTATGTAAAGCAAATTATCAGATATAAATATTTAAATTTCACAATAAAAAATATTTAAGTTACATTTAATATATATGCAATTAATATCAATTAATGTTATAAATAAACACATAAGGAGGATAATAAATGTATAACATATATAAAATATAGGTAACTCAATATAAAATATACAACAATATTATACTGATAAATAAATAATCAACAATAATGTAATATAAAAAATAATTAAATAATTAATAATAAATAATTGTCACGTTCCTTATTTTATGTAAACTACTTTATTTTCAAGAATATATAAAACAAATATGTCACTTTACTTTGAAAGCGGCGGGTTTTATTTTATCCTTCTTATAATTGGATGACTTAACAATTTGTTTCCAAGTTTTTAAACTAATTGGTTCAAAAAGAAAAAATTGGTTGCTTTAAAAAAAAAAAGATCAACGACATAATCCATCATTAAGTTTTTGATTCATATTTCATCATCACTGCAGTTACCTTTCTTCGCATTTACTCAAACCGTTAATCTACGATCAGCAGCGCAAAAAATAAAAACTGTAATTAAGAAGAAACAAATACAAGATAACATTACTACTAATAATACTAATAATACGACTAGTAAATGTAAAGACAAATTTAAAGACGTTAAAGATGGCGATCCCAATCGATCAGAGTAAAGAAGGAATACGGTCAGATTTGATCGTCTGTCAGACATTCTGTTTTCAGGATTCAATTGGATTCAATTGGGAAGAGCAATTGTCACGGTTAAGACAGACACAAAATGAATTAAAATTCACGTTTCACAAAGAGCTTATTCTTTTTTTTTTATTTGCAATCCGCCATGTTTATTAAAAGTCACAAAATAACAATCTTTAAAGATGAGATCTAATGCAATTTTAATTAAGATGAAAGAAGCACTAGATAAAAGTTAATAACAGTAGATAATCTTTCATGAAATGAAAGTTGAAGGGAATATTAATGCCACGAATACTATCAGTGTAATTAAACAAAATATATAAGATATTGGTTAATGGATTCGTTTTCTACGGCTTATCAACCCTTTGCAGGTTATTTAAAGCCAGAAAATAGGAGACAAGTAGATATGATTAAAGGAGACGTTGATAAAGATTTGAAACAGAAAGGCGGATAGACATGTGGAAATTGAGATAGAAAGATAAGAATAACCCAAGTCGATAGATAGATATGAAGATTTCATTGATTGATTGATTCGTTTTCTACGGTTTATCAACCCTTTACAGGTTATTTAAAGCCAGAAAATAGGAGACAAGCAGATATGATTAAAGGAGACGTTGATAAAGACTTGAAACAGAATTGCGGATAGACATGTGGAAATTGAGATAGATAGAAAGATAAGAATAACCCAAGTCGATAGATAGATATCAAGATTTCATTAATTGATTCGTTTTCTTTTACGATTTATCAACCTTTTGTAGGTTAAGATATAATAATACTAATCAAAAATGAATAACGGATAACAACGTTTTTTCCAATTAAATTCCGAAATAAAATCTATGTACAATTCACATAATTTTTCACTAACTATTGAGCAACATGTTTTTTAATGAATGCTTCAAATCGAGGTAATGCTCACTCGTGTATAATACGTTATTTTCGGATACAAAATAATTGGAAAAAAAAAACACTTATGTATAATACGGTGAACCCCAGAAGTTGCCTAGGGCTTTTAAAATCTAGTAATTCTAATATACTTTTATTATTCAAATCTAGTTTTAAATACAGAATGAAGAATTCAAACAGTGAATTTCTCTCATCCATATATTTACTTATTAACAAAAGCCATTCAAATGGAAATGAAATTCGGCATCCATGATGTTGTATTAATTAGCCAGACTTTAAATTTGAACCGAATAACTTTAGCATTGTCTATGATTTATCGGCTGCAACACTGATATCAACTGCACTGTATCTGAATTTCAACACATCTCTTATTATTCAATGCAAGGACATCAAAGACATCTGCATCTGATCATAACGTTTGCCAATCGATGTTTCTTGTTCTTTATCAACAGATTCATCATAGTGCCAAATCACTTTCTTTATTCTTTTTATGTGTCGTGTTCCTTCGTAGGCGATCATGGCTCTCCACTACCCCCCCCTATCCTTTGTAGCTCTCAATAATTTTTGTCCCTTTGCTACTTCCCCAACGTCATCCACTTGCTTAAGCCCGCCAAATATGTCACGCGTTGCTTTCGGTCGTCTCTCTTTCCCGCTATCCACCCTGTGAGTATCAGATTTTCCAAGCCCTCCTTTCTCTTTCCCCGAGAAATTTCAGCTGTCTGCTCTAGATGTTAAGTATAGGCTTCCTCCTTGTTCGCATCCTCTCCAAATCCTTATCGTTGCTCACACGCTCGGTCCATGATATCCTTAGTATCCTTCTGTAGAACCATACCTCTGTTGCCTCGAGTTTCTTCTTCATCTTTGAGGAGACCGTCCAAGATTCACTGCCGTAAATGAGGACAGATGTCACGTAGGAGCACAATCTTCTTCCACTTACCGATCGATATTGCTTAAAACGATTAAATCAACCGACGAATCATGAAATTCGATGGTTGTTTTCTGGCATGGAGGTGTCGACAGGTGCAAAGTTATGAAAAAAAAAAGTGTAAAAATTATGAAAAATCTGACATGTTATATTTTTATATACCTAATCCACTTTTGGGATACACTATGTGCTGAGGTTTTAGAATTTGAGGTATTAGATTTAACCACTAAATAACATTCGTCCTGCTTTTTATCTGTCTCGACTAATAATTAGAAATTATATTCTAGGATAAAATTTTGGGGCCACAATCTGACTTTAATAATTAGTAAGTTTCATGCCTTCTTTGGTTTAATTAACACATACTAAGCCAGGATGCTGTAACTATTTAAGCCATTAGTATATGGCGTTCAATTTTTTAGAGAGTGGGGTTACGTAAATTTTAAAATCTACCCGCCCTAAGATTATCATTAACGAGCAAGGGTTATTGGACAAAAAATGTTAAAATTCTAAGGAAACTTTATATAGTAATGGTTTAATTTCATTATTATTTGTTATAAAGTTCATATAATGCTCGTAGTTCTGGTCAATAATATTGTAGCGATTTTCCAAGCATAGCTTAGATGTGGGACAAGGCTGAAAGCATGGGGGCACCCAGTGAGGATCGAACTCACTATTCATTCGTAATTGTGCTAGCGAGACAAGCTTGCTAACCACTACATTGCCTCGGGGTGCCCCTGGTCAATAATATTGTAAGGAAAACATTGGAACAAAAGGTTTAATGAAGAAAAGGTTTTATCACATGAGAGACAGGGATTAATAATACAATAATAGAGAATACAGTAGTTCACGGCGGAGTAATGCATAGCGAGCTCGGATTGAGGAATCGGAGACCCGAGTTCGAATTCCAGTTCAATCCATTACATGGGAAAGATATGAATTGTCTTCTCAGCTAACTCCACCCACGCAAGCTATGACAGTCTGGGCGCTACTAGAAGGAAAATTCAAAACCGATGTGTTTGGCTCCGTCAGTCTATGTTGCTCAAGAAGCACCACTTCTCCTGCGACTGCAGTACATGTGCTCCCCCTTACAACCCATTAGGTCCACCACGTGATCGTAGTTCAGTGCGATAATGCATACGACTGAAACGCTCCCTCTTGCGACCCTCTGTGCGATGACCGTTTCTACGATCAAACGTTTGTGTCCAGAATTAGTGTCGATAAGGTCAGACGTTTTTCTATATTATTGAATATATGAAAAAAATGCCGTCTACCTTTGACACGAGCATTAACGAGACAGATCGAAATTTGTTTAATATCTAGTTGAATATATTTTGAAAGCAAATACAGAGTTGGGTTAATCATTTCAACTCTTTGTTTCATATTAATTAGTACACATAGACTTTAGATATAAGTTCTTCAGTCAATCTTTTTCTTCTCTGTTTGGTTTGGTTTGTTTTACGGCATATCAACCTCAATGAGTTACTTAATGTCGACAAGATTTTTATTGCTGGTAATATTTTTTTCCAGAATACCATTTCTCCAAAACCACTAATGCCATTAACCTTAATGATCATAATATATAATAATGAATCATAAAAATGTATCTTCCGTATTTTTCCCGAAACCCCAGTTTCTAAAAATAAGACTTATATGAGATTTGGTTTATTCTGTTTTACGGTATGTCACCGTCAATGGATTATTTAATGCCGACAAGATTTTATTGCTAGTAATATTTTTTTTTTTTCAAAAATGTACTTCTAGTAATATTTTTTCTTCAAAAATCTATTTCTGGTAATATTTTTCTTCAAAAATGTATTTCTGGTAATGTTTTTGCTTTCCAAAAATGAATTGCTGGTAATGTTTTTTTTTTTTTTTTTTTCAAAAATGTATCGCTGGTAATAGATTTTACCTCAGAAAATATTTCTGGTAATAATTTTCCTTACCTGGTAATATTATTTTTTTCAAAAACTGTATTGTTGGCAATTTTTTTTAAATGTATTGCTGGTAATACGTTTTTACAAAGTATTTCTGGTATTAAAACCTATTTTTACACTTTCATAGTGTTTTGACCCCAGTTTGGGGTTAACGATTTGCCCATAGCTGGGACCCTAACAGGTGCTACCACCCCGAGTCACAGTAGACCTGGGATTACCAGCAATTAAGAGGTGGTTCCACGCTCCTCAAAACTTCCAGATGTAGTTTATCGTCATACCCAGGACGGTTTCTTCTCTGTACCATGTCCCTTCAGCGTCTTTTTGGTTGCATTTTCCTTAAAGCTTCCTCGTGGCGCACATGTTCTTTCCCTGTTATTCTCAACATCATTCGCTACAATCACATTTCTGTTGCCTAAAGTCTCTTCTTCATATAGGAGGAAATTGTACAGCCGTATAGGAAGATTATTATTACACACCCATACAGCATTCTTATGTTTGCAATGACATTTTCCTGTTTCTTAATACATTGTTTAGTTTTGGAAGGCATCTTTTGATAATCTAACGTGCCTTCTGACTTTGATATCACATTTTCTGTAATTGGTCTAAAATTCTTAGCTTAGATCCATATCGTTCCCAAGGGTATTTGCGCGTAAGAGGATCGACAGGAATTTCAACTCAGTTCTCCGGTTACCAATTGCCAGACGTTGTCCATTACACCACCCACACATCCTAATTTGCATACACCTGATATTCCCAAGCGGTCACCCACTTAGCTACCAACCAGATTCGATGTTGCTTAACTTCTGTGACCGTACGAGAACTGGTGCTTCAAAGTGTTTTCTGATTCCTAACATAGGCATCTTTTTTTTTCATTTTACTCAGAACTTCCTCGTGGCTCACATGTTTTATTCTAAGCATCCTTCTGTAGAATCACATTTTTGTTGTCTCAAGTTTTTTCTTCATATATGAGCAAATGTTTCATCATTCACCACCATAGAGGAAGATTGATATTACACGGCTGTTCACCAATCTTTTGTTGTTTCCTTTTGTTTTTCTGTTTCTTGATACATTGGTCAGTTTCCTTATGTTTTCCTGTTTCTTGATACATTACTTAGATTCTTTTTGTTTTCCTCTATCTAGAAACATTGCTTGGTTTCCTTTCGTTTTCCTGTTTCTTGATACATCGCTTATTTTCTTCTTTTTTCCTGTTTCTTGATACATTGCTTAGTTTCCTTTTGTTTTCCTGTTTCTTGATACATTGCTTACTTTCCTTTTGTTTTCCTGTTTCTTGATACATTGATGTGAAAAAGAAGATTGCGTATTATACACGCATATTCAGAGTATTAAGTTTAAATTAGTCGGTCACGATAATTTGAAGCATGTAAGATGTTGTGAGTTTGTGTTGAGAGATACTTCAAATCCATTATTCCAGTGTCTGAGTCTTCACTTTTTTAGCGGTGCTCAAATGTCAGTTCTGGTTCTAAAAGCGAGCTGCCAATACTTAGATTTTTCGAAATTCTTCTCAGAAAAAATTCGAAAATATTAACTTACTCGTCGATAGTTTTTTTTTTTTTTTACTCTTATTTCTTTCTTTCTCTTTCATTTGCTTTCTGTTTTTCTTTCTTTCTTTAACCGATAACGAAGCCATATTGAATTTAAGTAAATTTCTCGGCACCATCACAATCCTTGTTGTCAAAGCAACTGCCGCTTTCATCCTAATCACTTATAATGTCATCCATTTTATCATCATCATCATCGTCGTCATAGTCGCTATCATCATGATCATCAATTCTCTGTTCTGGGACGCTGACAACACATTCTTTCTTTTGCCCGCAGCCATCAATTTACGTCCGCAAAACAAACGCGATGTCATGTCGAGTGGAGGAACGTGATACCTGTCATTTTTGCATCCATCTATATCAGTGTCGTTGCTATGACAACCGTCTTTCTTTTCATATCCAATGTATGTGTTCCTATTTGTCTTGTAACTTAACGACATCCGCGGTTAATAACGACATATTCGAAATATAAGTAAATATAAAGATATGTCTGTGCGCGCGTCTGAGTCTGTACTCGTGTATACGTGTGTGTGCGTGTGTATACGTGTGTGTGTGTGTGTGTGTTAGTTCTTTGTGCTGCATAATATCTAGCGTAAGATCAAATTACATTTTTATCAAGTTTTGACCAAATATATTCACTTATTAAAACATCTGGGAATTTTAATCCACCATGCCACCCCACGTTACTCATCTGTGAAAACAGAAGATGCTAACGGTAAGAATTTGTTTTGACCAGTTCAATTAAACCCAAAAGTAAGGAATTCCTAAGTCTTTATTTATTATAACTCCAACACCCAAATACTACCCGACTTATTAGGAACGGGGCATAGATAGATAGATAGATAGATAGATAGATAGATAGATAGATAGATAGATAGATAGATAGATAGATAGATAGATAGATATGAACAGAGGTTGATAGATAGGTACATAATGAGAGATTAACAAACTTATTAGGGACAGGGCATAGATAGATAGATAGATAGATAGATAGATAGATAGATAGATAGATAGATAGATAGATGAACAGACATAGATAGATATAAAACGATGTGAACAGATAGATAGATAGATAGATAGATAGATAGATAGATAGATAGATAGATAGATGAACAGACATAGATAGATATAAAACGATGGGAATAGATAGATAGATAGATAGATAGATAGATAGATAGATAGATAGATAGATAGATAGATAGATATGAACAGAGGTTGATAGATAGGTACATAATGAGAGATTAACAAACTTATTAGGGACAGGGCATAGATAGATAGATAGATAGATAGATAGATAGATAGATAGATAGATAGATAGATGGACAGACATAGATAGATATAAAATGATGTGAACAGATAGATAGATAGATAGATAGATAGATAGATAGATAGATAGATAAACAGACATAGATAGATATAAAACGATGTGGACAGACATGGATAGATATAAAACGATGTGAACAGATAGATAGATAGATAGATAGATAGATAGATAGATAGATAGATAGATAGATAGATATGAGCAGAAGTTGAGATAGATAGGTACATAGAGAGAGAGATTAACCAACTTAGATAGATAGATAGATAGATAGATAGATAGATAGATAGATAGATAGATAGATAGATAGATAGATAAGAGAAAAGCCTGGAAAGGCGATAGACTGACCAAAATATAAATGTAAGTATACAGATTAGTTGATACACTAAAAGACATGAAAATGTACACGAATACAAAATCTGGTTGACCAGCCGACCTTCGCAGATAGACAGACAGACAGATAGATAGATAGATAGATAGATAGATAGATAGATAGATAATCACGTTAGCGTGTGTGTATATGTAAACCATTACACATTTGACCAATCTTAGAACAGAATTCTCTTCGCTAGGGAGTGGATTTAGGAATCGCACAGCCGAGTTAGAATTCCAGTCGAGTTTATTGCATTCACTTACGTGCTAATAACCTTAGGAAAGATATGAATCCATCTCCTCCGATATGGGAAAATAGCAGCACAGACCGGGTTCTATAGCTTTGGTTGGCTACCGGTCTAGAAGAAGGATATCTATTTGATGCCTTGTAGGTACTGCCTCTTTAACCTCTGAGAGAAGTGACGCAGTAACCTCAAGATCCCGGATGCAAAAGGAGCAGATAGGAATTATTCTTCCTTGAATGTCACCATTAACCACAATTGTGAGGTTGAGTGAAATGGTGACCACTGCATCGGCTCAAAATGTAGTGACTGAATAAATGGTGATGGCGATGACAGTACAAAAGACATTATTAAGAGTATACTGGACTGACGCTACCTAGTCTTCCATGTCCAATCTTGACTGAGATCAAAAGTGATAACGCAGCCTTGAATTATTTTCTAGCCTGCAACCTCTTTCCCAGAGATGAATCCTTGCTACTACTTTATCGCTACTATACCGGCCCAGTAAGTATCTAATTGCTATGCCCTACCACTACAACAACCAGATGAGACCCAAAAATGGAATATTATTACCATATATTGACTGGAATTGATCAGTACTTACCTGTCTGTGTTGATAGAATTCAAAAGCATTTGTATGACTCTGTGAGCGTTGAATTATTTCCTACCTTACAACCCCTTTCCCCACAGACGAAACGTTGTAAGACTCTCTCTCTCTAATCTATCGCAATTTCCATGACATGTGTGCTGACGAGCTACGTTTATTGGTTCTACCAGCCTTGAACTTTCTAGCTGGTACAGGCCAAAGACTGCTGTTTCGCGAAATAGTCTCCGGTGTGATGTTTTCCCGATCACTACAAAATTGACCTCTTTAAGTTAAAAGTTATCTTTCCTACATAACCTCATGATCACAATCGCATTTTCTTACGCTCATACAAAACCACAAGGTAACACTCTACCTTGAGTGGCTCTTTGGGCATTGCATTGAGGTAGATTTATAATGTACACACACACACACACACATACTCCATATATATATATATATATATATATATATATATATATATATATATATATATATTTGGGTGGATAGATGTGAGTTTGTGACCCTGGGTTTCACGCTTTAGCGATCGTCAGACAAACTCGCATATAATATATAAATAATTATACATATATATATTTATTTATATTTATATACACTTCCCACATATATATATATATATATATATATATATATGTACAATTATCGTTACAGACGACTGACAAAGATACGTACATAAATATTGAATATATACGTGTGTGTCTGTGTGCGTGTGTCCGTGTGTGTATGCATAAAACATATGCTGTTAAAAATTAAAAAATAAAATCGTGCTTGATAATGGCTAAAAGAACAGCCGAAAGCCCTCGGATATGCAGAACCTTTGGAGAGTTTTTACACACTTTGTGCCCATTAAAGAAACACTTGTAAAAATAAAACAAAAAGCTTAATGGCAGGATCTTGTTAGTTGTCTTCAAAGGAAATTGTATAGAAAAAGGATTCCTGCCCAAATAAACAATACATAAACACACAAAAAATATAGAAATATATATATATATATATATATATATATATATATATATATATATATATATATATATATATATAATTACCTGAATCATTCATACATAAAACAAATATAGAGATTAATGATTTAAATGGCGTCCTCACGGACATCCTCAGGTATGGAAATAGATTTTGTTCTTGTTTTTACTTCTCGGTAATAAGAGGACAACGAAAATAGAGATGCAATCCGAAAAAATGCTATGAGAAATGTGTTATTGTTTTGGAACGTGCGGTCGAAACGATGAGTTTGAATTTTAAATTTTAAGGTTGTGTGTTTTTGTACAAATTTACTAATAAGAGAAATTCTTTTGGTACTGGTAGATTTTCCGTCAATGTCAGCGTTGCGACCGCACGTTCCAAAAGCTTGTAAAAACTAAAAAAGACCTTATGCAACTGCAATTTATAAACAGGGATCATATCATTCATATACAGGTTCGGGGTTAGTGTACCTTATTGAAATTGTTTGCGAAGATGTATTCTCGCCATTTAAATCATTAACCTCTATATTTGTTTTTTCTATGAATGATTCATATAATTATAAATTGAACTGCACCTATAATCGAAATATATATATATATATATATATATATATATATATATATATATATATATATATTACTCATCTAAATGTATTATGAAAAATCATGAAAATCTTTACCAACATTTTGTGAAGACATTGTGAAGAATTGCCTAATAGAATCTGACAGTTTTTAGCGTTTGTCCGTCATGACTCCAAGG